CATTTATGTATACATTTGTCTATATCTATCTCGATTCGTTTTGGCTGTTACAAACAACCGTTATGTGAACAAAATTAATATACCCTTGTGCACAAGTGCGCTCGGGTATAAAAATAATTCACCGTTAAAAGACGTCGATATGTATTTTTGATTTTACATTTATTATTTTTTTTCAGATACATGGCAACTCTACCGAAAAGTAAAGCTGTTTAAAGATAATTCTTATTTTAATCAACGATCTTCTCTCTACTACTTTTCATACAATAATTTTCAGAGAGGTGATAACCCTAATTAAAAATAACGTTATTCTTCTTAAAAATTTTAAGAATGAATAAATTTACTAAACTTTCTTTCAAATATGTGGTAACTTTACTTGCAAATAGTGCCGTTAAGAAATAGTTTAGCATTGAAAACGCTTTTCGCTTTTCTCCTTTTTGTAAAAATAATTTGTAGTATTCTAGTAATTTGGCAACCTCAGTTAAAAAGAATGCTGTTCAAAAGTAGCTTATCGTTTAAACGTCGATACATTCCTTGAATATCACTTTTCGGGCCAAACAAGTTTCGTTTAGTAAACTTTTTTTTTGACATGTGGCAACCCTAGCTAGTACATATGTCGCTTTTAAATGTTGCAGAACTCTTGATTTTTTGTTTAAATGAAAAAAGAAGTTCTCAATTATCTGGAACTAGTTTGCTAATAAAGAAAAATATAACTCCTTGGTGGCTGATTTGGAATAATTGAAAAAAACTTATTTTAGGAAAATTGCAGCAAATTTCAATTTGAGCTACATATATGTATACATTTTCTGATTGCAATATTTGTGGCAGTTATTTTAAAATTGAAACATACACACACACACACTACCGAAAGCAATTACATTTTCATTCTATAATTTTCCACAGTTCCTTGAATGCTATACAATTTACCGTAAAGCGATTTCAAGACGATGGATGCTCAAACATAATGACCTCCGTTGCAAAGTTACCAAATTGCAATTGTAAGTATTTGCTGGCACGTTAAGCATTTGGGTGTGGTAGCAGCAACTAAGATGCTTTGCGGTTAACAGACAATGTTGGGCTTGATAATAACCACAAAAACAACTTAAGAAGCAATCAAAACTAATTGATAATAAGCGGGAAGCACTATTACTTATGTTTAATAATACATATGTATATACATATGTATATGTAAGTGCATACGAGTACATATGTACGTATGTGAGTTAGTTTGTTGCTAAGTAATTGCAAGATTTAATATCATTGTTGATTTCAGAGTATTTATGACAATTGATGTATATACCGATATTACTCATACGCCTAGGCGAACAGAAGTGTCTTACGTGCAATTAAGGCTATCAGCTATTAATGTGTTATATATTTTATGATGACATAGGTAAAAGGAGAGATATGAAATATAACAAATTAATTTTTCATAATACATAAACAGAAAAGGTTGGATCCTATAATCAGTCTTCTTAAGCTTGAACATTTAGAATATTTTTTGCGGTTTATGAAGAGTGTTGCCACCTGGTGAAAATGTTAAATTCAAGTTAGTTAAAATGTTAAATGAATTGTTAAAATATAGGAACCGATTGAAATGTGTTTAATTAGGCTTTATTTCTGTACTAAACTAAAGGGGGTTGCCACATGTTTAAAAAAACCAATTCGACTAAATTCATCAGTTAATTGAAATATGTATCACAAAGTCAGATGATGACGATTTAAGAAATTTTACTTTGAAAATACTTTTGAAGAGGGTTGCCACATGTTGGAAGAGTTGAATTTAGTTCACTTACATTTATACAAGTTATATGAAGTAACAAAATATGGGTGTCACACGAGATCTTTAGTTTGAACATTTAAAATAGTTTTGAGGTGCTTGAAGAGGGTTGCCACATGTTAAAAAAGTTAAGTTCAAATAATTTGATAATTTAAATTAATTATTACAAGATGCGTATCAATCGAAATGAGTTTGAAAAAGCTTTATTTCTGAACTAAGCTAGAAGGGTTGCCACATGTTTAGAAAATCAGATTCAATTTAAGTTAAAGTAATTTTAATAATAAAATTAATTTGGCTGTCCGACGAAATAGGTTTAAGAAGGTATTAGTTTGAAAAGTTTTTGAAGAGAGTTGCCACCTCTTATAAGGTGGATTTAATTTGACTATGCATGAAGTTACATGAAATATTAAAATATGGGAGGAGGACGAAAGANGACGAAAGATTTTTTTTTTTTTTTTTTGAACATTTAGAATATTTAAGAGTCATTTGAAGAGAGTTGCCACCAGTTTAAATTCAAATAATGTAATAAGTTAAATGACTTATTCAGATATGAGGATCAATCGAAGAATAAGATTAAGAAATAGATTTAGACAAAGATTAAGATTACGATTGAAATTGTCAAGAAGATTAAGATTAGGATTAAGATTGAGATTAAGATTAAGATTAAGATTAAGATTAAGATTGAAATTAAGACACACAACTTTTCGTTTTTTTTTTTGAGTAGCTTAAATATTACTCATACGCCTAGTCGTCACAGCAAATGAACTTTGTAAGTACCACTTTTTTCAAATGTTCCAAAGACCGTTCAATATTAATTACTTTTGCAAATTTAAGGGAAACTAATTTCTTCATTTCCCCTAAACTACCTGCCGAACTTTGTAGCTGTCAAAAGCAGATACGAAGCTTCAGAAAATGTTTAAAAGGAGAAAGCAAGCGTAAAAAAATAAAACCAACCAGTTATTTTTCGTCACGGCAACAAAGCTCGATGGACGAAAAAAAGCAATATAATTATTTGATCGGGCAAAAGCGAAAAAATAATTACGA